TCAATTTCAGACGGTGAAGCGGCTTATTTTTGTCTAACCTACAGGTACGTAGGTAACTATGAGGTAAAGGTATATAGTGAAGGCAGGCTTCACATACTTTCATGATGGTTAGCCACCCAATAGCAAATGGCTGACGGTGCAACCCTCTAGGGATTTTCCTGGTAGGTGATGCCGCTGATGGTGACGCAGATTTACATCCTGGGGATATACTGGAGTAAACGAGACGCAGAGTTAAATTGTAATGAGTGAATGAAGGGCATCGCATTAGCCGTACGTCCAAATTGTTCGCCTCTTTTTGTTCTCTGAGTCTCCTTCCGACAGAACAGTCCCAGGCGGGTGCTGATTTCCACTCCACCCAGCCAGACTGTTCCCATTGACCCAATATCGCACCGATTTGCCGGCTTCTCCCATTTTTGCTTCAGGTATAATATGTAAAATCTAGTGTAGTAAATGCTCTGCCTGCTACGGCACCACTCAGATTTCGTGAACTATATATGTATGGAAGTTTTTTTTTTTAATTAGTTGATTTGTAACTACCAAAGAAGTAAGCTCTACCAAACAGGTCTGAGTAACTACTAGCGATATTGCGAGAATGGACTAGCATAACTACGGATCCCAATTTGTATGCGTTCACGTAGCTTAGTGTTTGCCCCTGGTGAAAGATTCATTGAAGCTCGCAATGAAATGTAAAAATTACAATAAGTTTGAACCACCATCCGTTGCTTTTGGCTGTTTTTGAATATCTAAATTTGTTACGTATTACGGTATCGCGAGGCAGGGGATCTGAAAATTTCTGTCTGGACACGTAATTCCACAGCGGCACGTTGCAAATCGGATAGCAAGTAATTTGTAGAGGCTACTTCTTCCCTCAGCTGGGAGAATTTTCTGTTTGATTGCTGTAGCACACAACAAAATTAGCTGTTACATTGGTACTGAGACTACTCTTGCTCGTTACATGCGTAAAGATAGTAATCCTGATAAAAGGTGACGTGTTTGGCGTCGCAGGCAATCATTAGTACCTAACAGAATGCTCAGAGGTTCGCAGAGGTGCAAGAGCAGGCCAGCTTGATTTTTAGGGCCAGTACTTCTCAACGTGTTGAAACAGGCGACCTGACCTTGGCTTGCGAGAAGGTTTAACGTAGTTAGTTTGTGAGGAGTACGAACGCAAGTTTATGAACGGTCAAAGGTAATTTACAAGAACACACATAACTGTGGTGATGTCATCAAATATGCGAAGAGTTTTTACGAACTCAGATCGCGCTGGACGCATGCAGCCGTTTTTTCATTGTTACTGGTATAATCACATCCCAGCGCGAACGGTACAGCCGCGTTGCTCGTGCTCGAACGACCGTATATTTCGTACGCATGGCGGCGTTCTTTCTATTGCAAATGCAATGATACTATGGCCGCTATAAAACGATTTCTTCACATTTTCACTGGCTCTGTTTATTTTTTCGCCTCGCCCCAACGCACGATGCCCCTGCGAACCCTCTCTAACCGCAAGCTCTCTAATTTTTCCCCATGAATCTCTTTGGTTCGTTTGCATAACAAGAACTACACGAATCCAGCTATTTCTTACTGCCCCATCTCGATTCAAATCGACTGGCCAGTTATGGTCATTTACAGTCATTACGGGCTTCGCCTCTACTTCTGCTCGGTTTAGTGCCTCCTATCTCAATCGCTTCCAGGGGCCTCGGCCACGATACTCGAATAATATAACTTCATAGAGCTCTCTCCCCAATACTCTTTCGCAGTTTTTCCTTCATTTTACCACTACTACCGGGAGAGCGGATATCGTTTTCTATTCCATTTTGTGCATTGGTTCCTACGAAAAGTTACTAGCTATACGTAGCCCTTCCGTAGCTGTCCAGCCGGCGCGATCATCGTAGAACGCCTGATATGCCCACTGTACATTAATGTTAGACGGGTGCTGGACGAGAGGCGACTGCGTACAGCATTTTTACCGAGATGCACACAACTGCATGCAGCCACTTATAATCACACACTTATTTATATCTCTCTATGTACATATATATACCAACACATACAGAGTCGCAACTATTTGAATATTTAGATCCTTTACTATTCGCCGACTTCGTGGACCCAGCTCACGATTCTTACGACCGCGGCGTTCAATCCCTAAACCCGATAAGTCACATTCTCAGCTCGGTCGCAGTAGAACACTACAGCAGACGAGTTTCACGTTCCTCTTGTTCGCCCTCTCGTCAGCTTCGCTTCATCGCAAATGTCCCTTCCCCATTTTCTCGCCCTTTTATTCACTTGCCCCTGCAGTTTCGTTCCTCTTGTAAGCAGCATTTATCTGTGGTGCGGCGTAAGTCTGTTCCTACGAGTTGGTCGGGTATTCGTCCAGAATATTACGTTTAAGGTCCGAACAGTTGTGCCCGCTCGAGCAGTGAACGGCAGCCGAACCAGCTTTCTGGAAAGGCTACGCCACCGAGGGAAAAACGGTGAGAGGAGGAATAGGCAGAGCCGTTTCCGTTTGCTTTTGACTCTCAGGAGATGGGAGTGGGCTTCGAGGCACGTCGCGCACTGATGACCATTTGCTCTTGGTTGGACCCTTCTGCTTCGAGTTATACGTCCGCAACCGCCGTTAGGCGTTACATCAGAGCTGACTGCTAGGCCCTATTACTATTGCCGCTGCTATCACCGCGACTACACTTCTAACGATGCAATGTATAGCTGGATGCTGCCGAATTGAGAATGTATTGTCAGTGTCGACGAGCTGAAGCTAACTTGGCCGTATAGAAACGATGTTTTACTAGTCCCTGTCGACCCTGGTCTCTTAACCGACAGTGACGCTGCTCTGCTCCGGCCGGCCAATGCGTTTGGTCTGAGTGCGCGTCCTGCATGACTCTTTCTATTGTTTACTCAAACCGCAGACGCAATACTCAGAAAACGACGACGTTACCAGCAAGTGTTATCTCCAGTAAGTTTTTCCCGTAAGAGACAAAGCAGCTCGTGTTTTCGTCACGAGAAACAAAGTATTATGGGAACCAACAGTAACAAAACCAATGGGGACTAGAAAAGGTAATGATCTATCAATAGCATTAGGGAAAATAAGAGAAGATTGGAAACTTGCTGGCCGAAACGCTCAACAAGATATCTAGGGAAAAAGACCTGAAATTCTGGCTGTACGGCTCAAATGAATGTTCTGACATTACGCGCAAAAAACGAACGAAATGTATAGCAAAGCGCATCTACGAACAACCTATACAGGGGCCACATGTGTCGGTATATGTACATTTATATGAACGTTGGTTTATCCCTATGAGTCGGACTATATCTGTATCAATGGCATGATGAACGTCGGCGTTCAGCGTCAGGCTTTTGGTGTACTACAGTTCTTGCACATTTGTGCTGACTCCTGTCACAGGCTAGTCGATGTCCCGAAGTATGATTGTCTTTGAATAGAATGGAAGCGTTTGATAAAGACGCTAGTACGCGCGTGAAGACCACTTTGGGGCAGCACGATTCGTTCTGTTCGATGGCTGTTTTACGCGCGTGTACATTTTAGTCATAGGACCAGACTGGAATTTATCGCAACGCTATGCAGAGCGTAAGGAGTATAGGAAGTAACGACAAAGTCGTTGCGGTCATTTTGCTTCGATACTGGGTCCGTCGAGATGCATCTGTATAGTATATTCAAGTAACTGAAGGTAATATATTCTCTCAGTCATGAAAAGATTGCGAATTCGATTGGTTCATTAAAGCGAAGCTTTTCACGGCTATAAGGGGTCACTTGCCAGTCTGGTTCGTTTAAAAACAGAAGGGACACGCAGTGTGTACTGCAATGTACACACGACATAAACTTGTGAGTCAGGAACAAAAAAACGTGTTTTTTCCCTCTGTGTCAGAGGCTTCTGTTTTCGTTTAGTAGTGATATAAATTGTTGACACTTTTCTGCAGCGCTGGCTATACGCTAGTGTCACGAAGGCAATATATTTCACTACATGCCATTCAAAAGGTAATCAACCAAAGTAGGTTTACTTGTACCTGAGTAAAACCAACAAGTTACTCGAAAAAGGTTTGAATTAATTTTCACAATGGGAATTATTAAAACAATGTTACGTAAGTGCATACTGTAGTCAATTTCAATAAATAGATCTTCGTTATTAATCATCTATTTCTAGAGGACCTTTTCTAATAAAACTTTTCTAAAGCTCAGGTTAAGCATTTATCACATTGTTATCTTATTGGATCTTTGTGGCGGGAAACGTCACCCAGATAGGTTCGAAAGCAAAGAGATAATACCATCAGATACCTATAAGATCGGTGTGGATCGCACCGCGAAAGGCTCAAAAATAGCCTAAAGTTCCGAGTCAGTCGCTTTTGTTGTTTCGTCCTAGCATATTTTGCGGCACCCAACATATTGCCTGTCTCACCTCGCTATGCAGCATCTGTTGTTTGCTTGTCTAAATGTCATCTGGAATAACTGTTCGCATCTCGGGCCACAGCTGAGCTCGAAGTTGTCTTCACTCTTGTAACCCATGCTCGTATTGTTAGGGCTTGACACAGGAAACCGAGATGGCTAGAAATCGAAATCGAGGTCTACCTTTTCCCAATGAAGCAAGCCGTCCTGTCATCGAGTGGCGGGAATAGGACGAAACATGTGCTCTTCTCATCATTTGCCGCAATCCCTACTGAACTTGGTAACGACTGCCTCTGCACAGCAGTCGCTGCTGCAATTATTGCTACATTCGCTAATTGTCACTGCGTGACCCGGAGACGATGGGGTCGCGCGTACACTGAGCCTCAAAGGCGAGTATTACAAAAATAGTTCATTTAGCGATAAACATCTGTAATCGACAGTAGATGGTTAACTGAACACCGCAGTCACCGTAGAATTTTATACGTACACTTTACAAATTATATAGGAAAACGGCATCAAGCTATATATATATATATATATTACTAACGGTTCTTTTTGAAAAATACCAGGTAAAGATGTGATGCCTAGCATGTGTATGGAGTTGTGCTCTTTTGTACGTGTACAGCGTTTTCGTTGCTGCCCACGAAACGGTAAAATTATGTAAATTCTGTCGTTGTGTTAGGTGTAATTTTTAGACCGTCGTGTACATTATGGCTTGCGGTAACGGCGTACGGGATTTCTTGCACCAGATGCTTCCATGATAATAAACTCGTTACGTTTACGTATTGGATGCGTAGGAGCTACTCAGAAGCAAACCTCTACCTTCCTAATGGTAACGCGAACTTGAAAATGCGCCTGGCTTCGGATAACATATGGCAGTTATTTCTAACCATATTATTACAAAAATCCATATAGTGCTAACACGAAAAGCAATGACGTGTGACAAACATATTCGCTCTGATCTTCATCGTTAATCAGATGAAGAGAGACAGCTTTGAAAGCTGTCTGAATGCTACATACCTCAAAAAAGTACCATTCATGCTAGGGTCGTTGCTGATTAACGCCGACTGGTTTTTCTTGGGCACCTGGTCAAACTCTATGTACAATGATATACCCATGTGAGCTGCGTTTTAAATCACAAGGGTAAAAACATCAAACAAAAAAAAGAAAGGTGTGTAATTTAGTAGCTACTGAAAATTTGCTATCACGATCAATTGAAATAGGCCTTTTCAAGTATCGGCTAATCAGCACTTGCACAGCTGTCTTGGGACACCCATTATATATTAGACGGTAAATGGAATATCATCAAAACGAGATCTAGTTTTCGTTTGCGCTATATTAACATTATAAAATATATTCTGTTACAGTAAAGGAAAATTGCCGCGTTCCGCATCTGCTGAAACCAAACAGACGATCTTTGCTCGATAAATCATGCAACTGTATGTTATTCTGGATGAACGTGCCTCGTTAACTAAATAGCCAAATTCAGTGAAGTGAGTTCGGGTAACGCTGGGCACTTAGCGTAGTACGCAATTTACCGTTTATCGAAGTTTCATCCCATAAACATAATGAGATCTCCTCTGTCCGGTTTACTTTGTCCCACCAACTTCTGCCTGCGTCAACCCATATAATTCGATAAAACAATATTAAAATCTGTCTTCAATGCATGCGAGTAATAAACGATTTTATTATACCGGGACTAACGAGCGATATCATTAGAAGTTTTACATAATACATACGTGTGTCAAAGCTAACTGTTCACCACGATGTAGACTACCGTGTCGATAAGCAGCTAATGGTAGAGAAATAACTTAAAAACGTTCTAACTGCAGGCGTATCGATATATACCTTTCTGAATGACATTGGATTTTGGGCTAGTTACTTGGCTGTGTTTTTTACTTACTTTCAAAATTACAGAAGTACCTAAAGATTGCAATATATTTTCTGTATTGAAATGTTCCACTTCAGTGAAAAACTCATCGCCATAGTCCATAAAAGTACCCATAAAAATGTATCGTTCGAGTCGGTTTTCTGAACTTGGTTAACTTAGTGGTTAGTAGTTACAGAAGTTGAAGAAAATGCAAGCAACGAGTTCATTGCAGAACAAGCATTGCGGATTCAGTCCCTACAAAAGTGTTCTAAGTACGGGAGTACTTTTAAATCAATTCACAGTATTGGCTCAGATAAAGATAAAGCGATGATATAGTTTAGCGAGCTCGTTTAAATGAAGCTCAGTAGATACGTACTTTTTATCTTATTTTAAACGATAGTAGTAATTCTCCTAATAACTTACACTATTCAAATTTAAACTAGCACTTACTGAACGACAATAGGCAGCTGATTGTAGGACAGATTGACTCGCATTTCCGGTATAGTAGGACGTTATTGATGATCACCACTGGAGCAACACAGGTAGATACTCGCCGAATTGCATGACATTGATAATTGTATAGTTTTTTTTTTTTTTTTTTTGCAGGTCGTTAACTCGTACTAAATTGTACGTTTTTGATCCTCCTAACCTCGTTCCATACAAGTAACGAATTTTAATATAACAGATACTACATTTGTTAATAAAACTATTATTATTACTTTTATATGTATTCTCTTTCGAAAATTCGCTTCAACTTACTCGGGGTGACGCGGCAAAATGCTCTGACCGAATACGCTTCTGCCGTACCTAAACGGTAGGTACCGATTTCATTTGGATTGTGAACCAATCTTTCCAATCTTGTTTACTTTTGCATGCAGGAGGCAAATATGTTATCTCCCGTTCTTGTTACAAATTTGCCTTTTTACCTACACTTGGATCTTTTTTATCTTCTGTGCAATAGCAACGTGAGTGGAACGACAAAGACCGTCGAAGAGCAAAGCCTACCGCATAGATGCGACATCAATGTAGATCTTTCAGCCAGGAAGCCTTCGTGTGCAATTGAGAGTGGTCCAATGGAGCAGGGAATGCTAGGTCTGCGACGACGTGAGAAAAAATCGGCTACTCCGACTTGATTTGGGGTAGAGGAATCATTTTTGCTGGAAGAACACGACAGACAACCGAATCCTGTGTAAACGAGGGCTATATCTGAGAATAGCAACAGTAACAGCGACGAGCCTCAAACTGGCCAGAGCCTAATTCTTTGCTTATAGTTCATGGAAACGATGTACAGTGATAGTAATAATAATGAACAGTGTCGTATATACCAATAATCATAATTGGAAAATAAAAATCAGAATCTAGATTACGTCTCATCACGCAAGTTACCTAGATGTTTTCGATGAGGGGATCGAAATGGCCTATTTTTGCCTATGTGAGTAAGCCCCCCTGTGTACATTTTCTGCATTCCCTATTCTATTTACGCGACTCATTGTTATCCTTGCTATGCCACTTAAAGTTTTTTAGGCACGCAGCTGTTTCACTAGAATGAAACGAATCACTTTTCAGCAGATCGGCCTGTTTAGTCTGCCCGTTCAGGACGGGTATAGAAGCCGTCGTTACCTGCCCGTTCTGGACCTGTACGAGCACGCGCGTACTTCATGTCCAGTGGGCTTTGTTGCCAGTCATATCACCCTGCTATCCTGTTTTTCTGCTTATAATGCATACAGGATGGATGACAATGACGCATTATCGTCCCTTCGCTAGTATTGAGTTGCTAACTACTGTCATCCTCCCATGAAACAATGCTGTCACGTTTCTGCTATTTAACCACCGTCCAATATTAAGGCGATGTTGAGGGTCACGAGTCCACGAGGCTTTGGGAGAATAGGGGGGAAAAAGACCCGATAGGAAGAGGGCATAATAAATGCAAGTCTTGATCTAATGACGAGGTTGATCTTTTCAATCCGGTTATGCATGGAAGTAGCATGTGCAATATGACTCATGACTGTGAGGGGTGGCGGGCCAAGGGGAAAAAGAAAACCGAAACGTATCACAAAATGCGCGCCAGTCTCTTGCTGGCAACTGGTGCAAGAGTAGTGATGTATGATTGATATCAAATATTTGAAGTTGTATAGGCACTTATCATATATTAAAACCCATTAGCATAAAGTGGGTAAGTCCGAGGAAAAGCGAAAGGGAGAAAAATTGTGAGAGGACATCATACCTCGGCACAGAACTGTGACGATGAAACAGCATTTGAAGAACGGTGCAATATCGGAGATGTGGGCGTTCAAGGGGAACTAAGCCTATCGGGCGTTTGTCCGTATGAAGGCTTTATAAAATTTTGGCTACGAATTCCCCCTGGTTTCTCGACTTTAAATAGTGGTTTTCTAGAAACTACTACAAGTGCGATGATGAAAATATGGATTGACAGGGTCATATAGAGATGCAGAGAGAACGTAGCTACGTAGTAACTTTTTTCATTGATATGCGTTAAATTACTAACGTTTTTCTTTCTTTTTTTTTTTGCTCAAATTGAATTGGATTTGTGTTAAGATAATAGTCTACTGAAATTGGCATATAATAATAGGTAAAAACATCGGGTACTGAAAAGTGTTTTTGAAAAATAACAACTCATTACCATGCGCATGCTTCAGCTCGCATGACATATCTATGCGTAAAATTAGGCAAGCGACAGATTTCAACTTTTGTTTTGTATTACAATTGTGTTGAATTTAGAATTATCATTTGGTGTTTAAAGCTGAAACCTGCTTTTTATCCAAGGCCTCGCGCATACGTCGTCTAAGGACAGTGGTCGACTTAGCATTGATTTGCTGCTCCGCGCAGCATCTTAAGACATACCTCTCAGTTATCGTATTATCAAGCACTTTCAGTTGTCGAACTTCTCATCAGCGCCGCGCTTCTTTAACCTCATTATCCATTCAGATCACTAGTATGCTGTACGCCAGACTCCATGTACACCTCTAGTGTCTACATATTTGTGTAAGAGCCAGATACCCTTCTCGCTATTACGATAGCGGCACTGATACGACGGGTTTACGTCTCACCTGAGCTACTACGTCACCGCTTGGCACGCAAATATTTCTCCATGCCTACGATGTTCCATATTCTGTGACAGCAGCCGTAGTAACAACAACGGGCAGCAATAGCAGTAAGACTAGGGCTTGGTCTGTCAAACTGCGATGTAGCTGCAGTACTCGGGACAGGAAGCGGGTAATAGGGGCGACGATCTTCAGTCTTCTTTTATAAAGTGAATGAAATTGCTAGTCTTTGCGCTTATGAATTCCCGTGGAGAGCAATTACATGCACCAGCTAAGCTCCGCCACATTCGTCATAGAGATAAGAGAATGCAGAAACAGAAAGAGAGAGAATTCCCATACCGTTGGCACGTCAGATTTACGTGGCCGTTGAGGATGTTGATGGCCCTGGGCGTGAAGGTGTTGGTAGGCTGAAGCTATGGGCAGCTTCGGTGGCACAATTTCGTGGCCCGCTTCTGTTTTCGGCAGTCCTGACGCTGCTAGGACCGCTACGAATGACTGCATAAATACGTCATGGCGGCGGGTTCGGGGACCTGAACATTAGCACCCGCCAGCCATTGTCGATGGCAACTAGTCATCCTGGTTAGCCTGGCGAAAGCTGCGACAGGGATTCAAGGCGCAAATGGCGCTGAAGATGAATCCATTGGAAGCAAAAAGAAAAGGGAGGCCAAACTTCGGCCAGCGAGGAGGAATAGACAGCGAGAGACTCAATACTCCGCATTTGAGTAACTTTGTTCACTTATGATTCCAAGAGGAGGGGAGTTGACAAGCAGCCTAGCGGACATCGAAGACCGTTGTTATTATCGTTTAAAGGACAAACAACCGAGGTCGACTAGGACTTCGTATCATTAACTCTGCTCGGTAGAAGCATTGACAACAGTAACGATGTCGGTATCCTTTACGGCCTACGAATGGTCTTTCATCTGTTATATTTGCATCTCCGAGGGTCGATCCCAGGTCGTTTGCCGAGTGCAATCCGTAATTATATTATTGCATAACACTGGCGGCGGTGGTGGCTACGACGGCACTAAAGACGTGAGTCGGACGTGCACAGGCTCTCTTGGCACTTTCAACTAGCTGCAGTGTACGTACGATAACATCATTGTAACAGATACTTCCAACAGGTGCCAAACAACAGCATTCTTATGACGGCAATCGTAATGCATGTATATATATATATTATATGCATGTACGTTCTGGTTGATTTTTCAATGACAATTACAGTTTCTAGTTGATACAGCCATCAAAACGACCTTCATTTCAAACAAATTCGAGCGGTCCTCTTTTTAGATTCCTAAAGCGGCACACATTTTTAAGAAAGGCTACACAAAGTACGATATCGTCAGCTGCCAGGAGAATACCAGCACCCAGGACCATCCTTATGACCTTATGTTAATATTTTTATCCCTCTAAATTCCCGTTCAGTTCGACGAACATGATCCACCTTTCAAAGGCCAAAACACCCGGAATTTAATATAAATTATGGCCAAGTTTACGCCAGCTCTTTGATAACATGGTGACAAGTGTATAACTCTACGATGGCCGTAGCCGATTCTCAGATGTGTCGTAGGACCTAGCTAAACGAATGTCATTAAAATCGGACACTCTGTAACTCGGCGCTCAAGAAAAACTAGATACGATTTCAAACGCGATCCAACGCTCTCGTTATCGGTGGATGTGTGACAGCAGAGAGCGCCTCATAGCCTCCCCCACGTTATCTAGGGCGCCGAAGTGATTATTAAGTTATTTAAGTAAATCAATTATTTAGCAGAGTATTTTCTCGATCAATAGCCTCACAGGTGTTGTTACGATGGAGGAGAAACACGCTGATTAAATATCAGATGGGTTAATGGACGTACTAACGAGCCTGGTCAGTCGGAACTGCGATCGGTAGGATCGCCGGAACATCGTTCTGTATGTAGAGGAGATTTTGACTAATTCTGGCGTTTGACCAAATATATCGAACACTCGTGTAAAACCACAGTGTTCTTTCCTTGCACCCGCCGATCACTTCGTTACGGTTATGTATATATAAGTAATACGTATATACTTCATTTGAACTTGCATGACGTTTGAAGTGTCCACATCACACTGAGATGTTTGATCGAGTACCGGCAAAGAAAAATAGATTTATCATGTTAGTGAATTACAAATAGGCCTACGAATGTGCATGAGAACGGTTCTCCTACTTCGCTAGTGATTGTGTCTCCGATCAATCCTGCTAACCTCCGTGCATGCACTGAAAGCTGAATGAATACTGTATAGTTCAATAGCAATAGAAGTTAGCCGTCTGCAGTAGAGTTTTCAGCGACGACAACTAGAAATGCCTCTTGTCGACTATCGACTCAAGCGTCAGCTGCACCCCCGACAACTGAGGATCCTATCATTCCATCCAACACAGGGACAAAGATTTTTCACATACATAACTGATAGGGATATCGCGCGCCCGCACTGTTCGTAGCTCTTTTGCTGCGAGTAATAAATATGCAACATAACATCATCAATAATATATTCCCTGAAACGTACGCAGTGCAACATACTATGGCGACGTACATACCAGCCCTGTGAGAGCAGATCAGCGTCGTATGTTGATTATCGGCCTAACTTGCCATAGGAGAGGAAAAGGATCGACGGCTTTGCTGTAGCAAGACGCCGCCGCCGCCGCCGCCGCCGACGACCCAGGTTCGTGTTCAGCAACAACTGTCACATATTGAACAGGGCTAAGCATAGGTTCGTCTAACGAGTTGTTGTGGTCAGTGCGAAAAACCTGCCAAAGGAATGCCGTCGAAGGCGGCAAAAAACTGAGTGCCAATACGCTAACATCCATAAGCAACATATACTGTACAGCCATTTTGATGGCTTACTATTATTTAATCCAGAAGAAGAACAAGGGGCGAACTAAGTTAATAAGTGAATTTGAGAGGCAACAGTGAGGCTGGTTATAATTAGACCTTTTTTTGGGGAGAGGGAGACTATATTTATGCATATAAGCGTTTCACTGATTAAAACACCCTTAGTCAATAGAAGTCCTTTGAGTTGACAGTTGAAGGGAGTGAATTCGTGAAGTTCGAGTTTTTCTTATTAGTTGATTGGTAGATATAGCTGGATTTATTGTATAGTCGAAATATCGTGGTGTATTTGTGTACTGCGCGCTGAGAATCATGTCAATAAGTTTATTGCCGAAGTTTATGAAAAGTTAAAAAGCTCATGGTCGATCCTAATCGATTGTCCCGGCTTCATAGCACGCTATGTTGGTCATTGAAAACTTACTAATCAACTTTCAATGTGGTT